CTTTCTCAGGTTTTCTGTGGATTCAGTTATCCACATCTGGGGGCCATTTGTAGAAGGAGCTGCAGGCCCCTTCCTGCTGCCCGGCTCCTAGCCACTGGCTAGCTTTACCCAAAATAACAATACACAAATTGTATTCATTTAAACATTGCCTGGCCCATCAGTTCTAGGCTCTTACTGGCTAACTCTCATATCTTGCTTATCCCATTTCTAATAATCTGTGTAGCACCAGAAGGTGGTGTCTTACCGGGAAAGATTCAGCATATCTGACCTGGCGGCTTGCTCCATCGCGTCTGACCTGGAGAGGAGCACCATGGCGCCTGAGCTCACTTCCCTTCTTCCCAGCATTCTGTTCTGTCTACTCCACCCACCTAAGGGCTGGCCTATCAAATGGGCCAAGTCAGTTTCTTTATTAACCAATGAAATCAATAGATTGACATATGACCTTCCTACATCAATGTTGTATGGAAAAGCCACAATTTTTGAGCTGCATGGATTTTAAGTTTAATAATAAGAGAGACCTAGAGGCATGTTCTGCCCTGTGGCTGAGCTGCCATGCTACAAGCTGCATAGGGGAGCAAAAAGCCACCTCTTGAATCCAACCCATCTTGTTGGCAGCAGTAGCTGTGGCAGAGACATTTTGAAGAAACTCCTTCCATTTGCCTGTGCACTGACAGTAGTTAGAAAGCTCCCATGAAAGTTTAGCCAGCAGGACATGGGCAGAGTGAGGGTAGGAGCTGAAGAATTAGGGCATTAAGGCCTGGGGTTTTAGGGCCTCTAAAAGGCATCCATCCCAGAGGAGATGGGCATGGATGGCTTGCTCCATAGCTGAAACTGTGAAAACCTGTGAAATGGCGACACACCACAAGGCCTCCAAGTGGCCTTTACCAAAACAAAAACAAGCAACACAGCAGCAAAAAAAAAAAGAAAAGAAAAGGAAAAAAAGAGAAAGAAAAACTGAGGGACCCTGGGCCCCCAGTCAAATGCACCATAAGAGTGTGCAGTGCCAGCATGGCAGGACTGACCTTGGGTCAGTCCCGTCACGATTTTAGCTAAGGGAAGCAATCCAGAGATAAATGTTAGTGAAGGGCTCAATCGTAGCAGAATGAGGGAAACTCACCAATTGAAGCCAGTGTTGTGCACTCAAGCATATGGAACATGTTTACTATTGTGGAGAAATACCTGGTTCCAGATCTCAACCTCAGGAGAGGGGCTCGGGGTGGAAGAGCCTCTCTAGTCTTATGGCACCAATGTAATGGTAAAAGTAAAATTGCGTCGGGATCTCCAGTGGCTGCAGTGGCAGAAGTGCTTCAGGCCTCTAAGTGGTGGCAGCAGGCCATGTGGCGGCAGACAGCAAGCAGCAGGTCTTGAGAGCAGCCAGTTCCAGGCAGGGATGGCACAGTTCCCTGAGTGACTGCAGCAGGCTATGAGGTGAGACAGACAGATGGGCATGCCATGAGACCATGCTGCAGGTTTCCAAAGGCTGGTCCTGGGCTGGGAACCATGGGATAGGCAAGAGACAGATGGATAGGCATGCCATGCAGAATGAGGTTGGATATTTATTTAGTGGGTTATGGAGGGGGGAAGGAGAAGCGGAGAAGAGGAGAGAGAGAGAGAGAGAGAGAGAGAGAGAGAGAGAGAGAGAGAGAGAGAGACCAGAAGAGAAGAGAGAGACAGAAAAGGGAGTCAGGCTATAAGCAGGAAGGAAGATCTGCTTGCTTTAGCAGACAGGGGAGGGAGGGAGTGTAGCTTGTCTCTTAAAGGGACAGAACAGATCATTACACTTCTAACATAATCTTGAATGTAGTAGTGGTAGAGAGAATATCCTATTGGTCTCATTGGCTGAGAAAGATGCCACTAAATATCTGTCATGGCCATTTAATTCTCAGTGAAAGTTCCCAAAGTAAATTGAAATTCCCTCAGAGTCAAACTTCTCCAAAAAAATCTCTGATTGCAATAGACAATGGTGATTTATTTTTCAGAGCCTTAAATTGAGTTTCTCAAAAGTACCTTTAAAATTTGATTTCTCCATACATTTTGTTCTTTCTTTCTAATATTACATGTGTACAATTCTTGCTTGTTCACAGGAACTCTTTAAAATGGATCCCTGAATATTTCTGTGAAATGAATTCTTTTCTAAGGCAGACTGCCATAGGAGTTATTTAGAGCCCACATCATTGTGCTACAGAGCTGAGTGATGTACTTTCCCAAGCATAAGGCTTCAAGTTGGTCAGGCATTTTCAGTTCAGGCAAAGTTGGGGGATTCTAGAGCCCTAGGGTTTTCTTTTGTACTGCATCCTCCAGAAACATCAGAAGTTTTAGAACGGATGAATGTTCAACATACTGAAACTTTTTGTATGACCCTGAGTTCACTGACATTCAGAAAAACTCTTTCTCACTTTTACTCTGTGTTCAAGTTTTATCCCTGTGATACTGTGGGGTTCAGGGTATCCTGGCCACAAATAATGGGGCCCAGGCCATGTGGGGCTCAGGGCAGCCTGGCCACACACAGGGCCCAGGCTACACAGCTGCCATAGCAGCCAGTACCAGGTTCCAGGAAAGTCCATTAACTGGCACCACCCTGGAACAGACCATCCAAAGGAAATTCCTAACATTCCAACCATTGTAGATAGGATCACCTGCCAGCACACACTCATTGCTTTTCACCAGAACACTCCTAGACAAATGTCAGCCAATCAGGGGTCCTGAACCTTAGAAAGCCCTTATTCCTACCTTTGCTACTATGAAAACCCAACTCCAACTGAGCTCAGGGATCTCCAATCACTTCTACACTGGGCACATGGAGAGTCCAAGTTTTGCAAACTTGTGTAAGAATAAAGGCTCTTTGCTTTTAGGACTTGTTCTCCTAGTTGGTTTCTGGGGGTGGGGCTGAGTGATCTCAGCATAACAATATCTGAGTTAAAATATTTGGAATTCCTATATCAATGGACTAATGAGGGAAAATCTGGTTTCAAAGATCTTAGTTCAAATCGAAATATTGGAGAAGTGAGGCAATAAGTCTCCTGGTTTTGGAATTCATTACAGACGTGCAGAACATGGAACAGAGAAAGAAAAATATTCTCCCAGAAGCTGAGCTGAGGAAGGTACAGAATATTCAGGCTATACAGCTATACAGATCAAGGTGCTTGACAGGATTCCCATGATAATTCATAATAATTCACTGAGGTTAACTAGTTGGGACACGAGAAAGTGATAATCACATGATTCTTAAGTGTATATGATTGAGCTTTTGCAGGTAAGGCTCCTGGACCATATACAGACCAATGCCTCAGGTTAGTTTGAAAGCTACTTCATGTGTTGTGTTTCTAAGTTGAAGGAAAGAGAGAAATAACCTCTGCTAGATTCCACACCAATCAGGGGCATTATATAAGGAAATGAGATTTTCTGTTTCTGTTGCCACAAGAGAATGACTTAGGAGAAAGAGAAGAGGTCCATAATTGGACTTTGACTTTTTTGAATGTATCATTTAATGCATTCAAATCTTATAGGGGGTTCCCAGATTTGCATCCCATTTACTGGTTTTGAGAATAATTTTAAATTTTGTATGATGGATTCAAATTCCATGGCTCTGTGTGGAGGCAGGGTGGGAGAGGATGCAGAAGGGAAAACAATGACCCATGGTGAAAAGCCATTGGCATGTCAACATCAGAATCTGTACCAACTAAAATAGTTTCTTTTTGAATCTCAAATTACCTTGGGAAAATGTCTGATTTTTCTCCATAAGCATTTCAAAACTTTTAAGCTTCTGTAATGACTGCTTGATTTAATTTCAAATGCATTACCTCCTACATATAGAACATAAGAGCAGAGATTGACTTTGTAAGTAGTGTTGATTAAATGAGGCCTAGTAACTTGCTTCAACAAGTAAATGACAAAACCAAGACTAGGTTGTCACAAGGTAGGTTTTGTCTTGTGAACAATTGTGACTTAGCCATTTGGCTACTCGGTAGTAGTATTAAGTTTTGAGGTCTTAATTTAGCAAACTTACCAAGCGACTTTTCTTTAGGGGTTCTATTGTATTTTGTTCCTTTTCTTCCAAAAAGATTCAATTTTATGTTATTTGCATGTCATATACAATGAAGCATATATGAAATTAAAGAAATCCCTTGTGTTTTAGGTTTGGAAGTCATATTTTCATTTAATAGCTATGTTTATAAATGTTATTGAAGAGTTTTTTTTTTAAAGTCAGCTTAGTTTTATTATTAGAAACTTCTATTCAAAATAGCAGTCCAAAAGTACATTTTTATGTTGGCATAGACTTAGAATACATTGAAACCAGGTAGAGGCATGTTTCTGAACATAACTTCAAGAGGCATTGTTGATTTCATTTTAACGTGCTTCTCTTTGGGCAAACAGTACAGTTAAGTTACCACATTATTTGCCCTTAAATAGATACCATTGAGAATGCTGTTTTTTTTGTTATTGTTGTTGTTGTTATAAATCATAATTTAATGCATAATCATTTCTTAGAGAGCTTGACATACTAACAACACACCTTAACATATACTGTTAACTTAGCTCAGATTCTTTTTTTTTTTTTTTAGCAAGAAGTTTATTTAAACAATAAGACGCTTGACTTGAAGGGAAAACTATCTAGGATCATTTTGTTCAAGAGTAATTTATTCCTACTTAAAGACAGATTGCCCTACATGTAACAGCTACGTATAAAAAAGTTATAAAATTGTCCTTGGTTTTACAATGACAAATGAAAAACATTAAAATTCTCCAATCCAACAAGGCATGCAAGGATTTTGTGGTTTTGTTCTTTTGTTAAAACATTGAGAGCAAAATAACTCCCTGGAATATAAAGATAAGAGCTGATGAGCGAGCATGCCACTGATGGAGCAGGGGGTATGTTCACAGAGCCAGTACTTTCCCCCAGACCACCTCCACATGCTGTCAGTCAAAACAGAACATTGGCCATTTAGTTTAAAAAAGAAAGAAAGAAAAAAGCTTGTGCACATACACCAGCTACTTTATGTACAATAAAGAAATGGGGACAGGGAAATGAAAGAATAGAGAAAACTATACTGTAGTAACCAGGATGTGGTGGGACCAAATTGCGGCTTTCTAATTGCGAATGTATTCCTGGTCTATAACAAAATTCTGGAGTAAAGTAGCAGGTTCCCTTTTTAGTAGACACCTCCCCATCTGCTGCTGGAACACATCAATCGTATCTTCATCCTCCATTTCCAACTGTGCAGGTTTGTCTGTTTCATTGATTGGCTGCCCATCAAACCGGAATCTGATCTGCCTCATTGACAAACCCTGTCGTTCACAATAGGCGTTCATTAGTTTACTAAGTGGTGTATGCCTCTTAATTTTAAACTGCACAGAGCCATCCTGCCCCGCCACATTCAAATTAATATGGTCGTTGTTCTCGGTCTTGACCCCTTCCTTTGGTTTCTCGTTGGCCATGGCGAACGCTGGAGTCTTCTCAGTTGCCGCTTCACAAAAGAGGCACCAGGTCCGCACTGAAGGAGCACACAGGCCCCACCAGGAGCGGACTGCAGACAAGGCAGAGGGCGCGCACACGCAGTGCGCTCTTAGCTCAGATTCTTAAGAGTAATGATTTTTCTCTATAGCATTTGAAAGATAGCTAATTCATGTTCTATGATTCTTTCTCCACTTAAGTCAACTTTTGGCCCAGAATTTCTTCTTAGCATTTTTCTTTTTTCTCTACTTTAAAATAGAGTTTTCTCTCATCCAATACATCCTAATTACAGTTTCCCCCTCCCTCTACTCCTCCCAGTTTCTCCACACCACCTCTCTCCCTTAGATTCATTCCTCCTCTCTTTCCCTTCAGAAAAAAGCAGGCCTCCAAGAGATAACAACCAACCACATGATGGGAACCCAACTGGAGGAAAAGAGTCCCCAACAGGCAAAAGAGTCAGAGACACATTGATTCCCACTGTCAAGAGTCCCACAAAACACCAAGCTAACAGCCATAATATACACAGAGGACCTGGTGCATACCCATACAGGCTTTGTGCTTACTGCTTCAGTCTCTGTGAGTCCTGCTTAGCTGATTCAATGAGGCATGTTTTTCTGATACCTTCTATCCCCTCTGACTCTTATAATCTTTTCTCCCTCTTCTGTGGGGGTTCCCCCGAGCTCCGAGGGAAGGGGCCCAATGGAGACCTCTAACTTAGACTTTCTCTCTGCATGTGTGGCTGTGGTTCTCTGTAACCACTCCCATCTGCTGCTGGAGGAAGCCCCTTCAATGACAACTGGACTGACAACAATCTATGAGTATAGCAGAATATCATTAGGAATCATTTTATTGTTTTTTTTTTCCCAGTTGTATTAGGTTCTACCCTAGGTTCCTAGATTATCCAGTCTCCAGTTCCTGGCCATTCAGGCAGTTTGGGGCACAGGTTCCCTCTTATGGTATGGGCCTCAAGTTAAACCAGGCATTGATTGGCCACTCCCACCATTAGTCACCATTGCCCCAGCACATCTTGCAAGCAGGACAGATTGTAGGTTGAGGGTTTTGTGAATGAGTTGGTGTCCAGGTTTTCCTTCCTTCCTTCCTTCCTCTTCCT